ATCTGATGATTTATGTGGCGGCGATAACTCAATCATCAATCATTTTAAAATACAAACTGGAAACCTACTTTATAAGTATAACATTAATTGAGAATGAAACACTTAAAATAATATACTGTAAAAATAGAAAAAAACCAACAATAATCCGTAATAAAATACTCTGTAATCATATCTTCAAAACTTCACATAAAATTATATTAACCAATGTCCAAACCTAATATACGGACGGATAAGCGAAGTGAATAGTTAATATGCCTCACTCTAATCACGTAAGGGTCAGCACTCTATGATGGTTCTGGTGCAGACATCCCCACCAAAGAAAATCAATCATCCATTGAAGGCAATATGAAGGTCAAGAGATTTAGAACCATAAATACGTAGATATTAGATAAAATCAGGATATCAGTTTAAAGACTTGAAGAAGAAATTAAAAATCATGAATGCCAAGATAGAAAAAATGGAAGTGGAAATACATTCCAAATAAAATGAGAGCAAGAGGAGATTCGAATATTTCAAGAGAAAAAAAAACATTGGCAATAATAATATATTTAAAATCTACATATGCACACAAGATGAAAAACAAGATTAGATCAAGTAACCAGAACGGAATTCTACAATTTCAATTTCAGTAGGAAAGGAATTTTGAAGCCATAACATTTAAAAAAAAAAAAAAGACAGTGAAATAGAGTGAACAATATAATCATTAAAAGAAATCATCAGTATTGAAAGCAAAGCAACAAAGATAATTAACAAGAACTAAATAGAATGAAATTCGCTAATTGTAAATAATATAAAAAAGGGGAAGAGAAGAGATAGACCTTGAAGAAGTAGGAGAAATTGGGATTATCGCAGCCACCTTCTGGCTCGAGGTTCGTGAGATTCTCCAGGTCGGCACAGATCAACAGCATGTAGTTCACCATTTTTTTTTCACTTACAAGGTTCTATGTTTCTCTCGGTACTGGATGGTTAAAGAAAAAGCACCCTCGCGAGGTATATATGTGAAGCAACAGATGAGAAAAGCATACACAGGTTGAAGGGACGACATGTCGTATGTAAGGCAAGCCACATGTCGTCCAACAAAATACGGGCGATACGACATAAAAAATAAGCATATGACACGATTCTAGACCTCCAATTCCAAGTTCGTAAAAAAGAAAATTACAGTTCTAGTTAATGTTAGATATTGTATAATTACATGAATTATGATATAATTTCACAGGATCTAGATTAAATATTGAGATGTAAAGAAAAGGGATGACCAGAAGGTAAGTCATGTAAATTTAGGCATTTTCGAATTACCTTATGCATGATATTAATGATATGAATTTAGCATTATTTGTATATATATATAGCACTTGAATTATGATATAATAAGAATAAAATTATGTTGTTTGTTCTTGAAATATATTATATATAAAAATGGGAAATGGGTTGTTCTCATGTCCGGTTTAAGGGATGGTTATAATTCTATTTGTACTCATTTCTGTAGTTTCAGGAAACAAGATTTCGGAAGGTGGAACAAAAGAAAATCACTCCCAAGGTATGCTGTGAAAAGCATTCAGGTATAATACATATAACTCTTTAATGTAACGTAAATACACTGAAATTATATAGTCCTGGCCATGGCTTTGGATGTTGAGGTGATGATTCAACATTTTTATATAAATTTATGCAGAGTGAGACGGGGATATTATTGATTGCATGACATTTACAAGCAACCAGCATTTGCTCATCCTGCATACGGGATCATAAAATCCAGGTTTACACATTTTTTTTTCTTTCTAATTATAAACTTTTGTCGGTATAATTAGTCATTGTTGGTCTCATATAGTTCACGTTTTTCTGATGTTTTTTGATTGCATATGCTAATGCTTTTTCAGATGGCTCCCAGTTATGAACCAACAGTAGAGACAATGGGCAGCAACAAGTCCGGCGAAACAAAAACATTCAAGAATAGATATGAGCAATCTTCCATGATCGTGGCATCACAAATATGGAAAAAGAATGGAAGTTGTCCAGATGGAACGGTGCCAGTTCGAAGATTTCAGAATAAAGGACAGCTTGAATCAAATTCTCTTGAAGCTTATGTAGGAATAAGCCAACTCATCCAGTGAGCAGCTTAATGACGATGGGAATCCTAACTCTCAACTGCCAAATCGCTCGGTATGATTCTGTCAAACAGTGTGTAGTGAACATCTTTGACTGTACTTCCTGAACTTTTAGGTAATACTGATCATATTCACTTTGAATCATTTTTTTCCTATTTTTTCTGATTGGTTCAATTTCTGTAATAAATCAGAAGGCAATACTGCTTACACTAGGTTTTATTTACTCTGGAGCTAAAGCAGACATCAAAGTTTGGGACCCTTCTGTCGAATCTGACGATGAGTACAGTACTTCCCGAGTTAGTCTCCAAAGTGGTCCTTACTATGATTTGAAAGCATTGAATCTGGATGGGCGGTTAGTATAACTAAGAATTCTTTTTCAGTTCAGTCATTCATCCATTACAACACTAGCTAAACATATACTTTTTTCTTTTTGGTTCATAATTTTTCAGGTAAATCCAAGAGTGTATGGGGATAAGAAGACTCGATTGTATGTATATTGGACCGTAAGTATTGTCAACAAATAAGTTATTATAATTTTATGGAGTTTATTAACTTGTGGAGATGTCTATGCTACTAAATACACAACGAAAGATCCAAAATTTTATTTCTTTTCTTTATTAAATGGTTGATGGATCAAAGGAACAGGGTGCTTTGATCTTACTTGCCCGGTTTTGTTCAAACTAGCAACGAAATTGCACTTGGTGCTGCAATTTATCCCATCTCAGTAGCTAACGGCCTTCCAACCAGATAATATTTACATATTTAAGGTAAACGAATGGAACTTTTCTTTCATTGAAAACGCTTTGAATAATATTTTGTTCTCATTTCTTCAGAATTTATAATCTTTTGATTTCAGGATCCAAATACAAGCAATTGGTGGATGCAGTATGGAGAAAAAATCAACGTGGGATACTGGCCTCATAATTTTTAGTTTGATAATTAGTGGTGCAGAAAGTGTAGAATGGGGAGGTGAAGTTTACAGCTTAAAGTTGGGGCAATTCCCCACACTGCAACGAAAATGGGAAATGGAAATATCCAGACCCAATTTTGGGATTCAGGTTACATGAAGAGAAGGGAGATTCAGATCTCTTGTTTAATGGATAAGAATTTGGGAAAATTTTATGTTGTAATAGTCTCATCCTTTATATCTTAATCTAAATTTTTATTATTATTATATTTGTGTGAATATAGGAACACAAAAGTGAGAAAAACATGATAATTTGACAATGGGTTACAAAGAAGACGAACATCCAATTGCCATTGAAATTGGATAATCATAATAATAATATTATGTTGAATTTTCACTGTAATTATAGCAATTTTAACGATACGTCTTTTCCTAAAATTAATAATTGAAATTACAAATTCATTTTGGTAATTATTAGCTTGACAATAAATTCAATAGTATACAGGAATTTGATAATACATTCACATAATAATCTCCTTTAAAACTTGGAAGAAATTTAAATAAAAAAAGATGACTATTACACCAATCCATTTGTTTGTTTATTATTGTCAAAAGTCCAGCTGCAAGAGAAATAACCTCCATTGATGGTGATACCCAACAGCTTAGAAGTGTTGAGAAGTCTAGTCGTAATTTTATTGCTTGGCAGAGATTGGCTACCTATATTCTCACCTTCTTCTTGCATTAGAAGTGTAAACCTTTTCAACTAAATTCAAGTTCCAATGGATGATAGGCTACCCTTCACCTCTCAATTTTCAATGGTTTCAAATGAATGCACTGTATCTAATCAGCTGCAGCGTGTCTGCATAATAAATAAAATATTCAATTCACATTCTAAATGAAGGTGAGAAAATTTGCCTAAATTTACGTTAACACCACAATTAATTTCGAAGAAACCGCACAAAGGTAAAAGAGGTGGCCGGTCGGTTGGACCGGGACCCGACAGCTTCTCTGGTCCGGTTCAGGTCTTAAGGGGGTTTTTGCAATATTTCAAAATTAGAAGGGCTAATTAAATTTTATAGGAGTGTTGGAGATATGTCAAAAGTTCATGGATTAGTTGTTAATTTTTTTGGGGTATTTTTAAAATAAATAAAAAATTTAGGGACTACTTAAGCTTTTTAAGGGAAATTTTTGTAAAATATTAAAATTTAAGAGATTAATAGTAATTTTTTAAAAATAAAATTGTCGCTGACATCATCAGTCCAACCGATTGGACCGGTTGACCCGTGACCCGGACAACAAACCGGGTTTTAAAACAATGCGTTAACAGTGACTAATCCCAACCTCATACTGTAGTAATTTATCTATAATGATAAAAGAAGCTTCCAAGTGTAAATAGAAAACCATGACAACACTGCATAATGGCCCTTGAAACTCTAACAGGAAACAGAGCTTTCACCAACGAGAGTAAAATCATCGAAAGATGAATATAGTCGAAATTTCATATCCCATGTTTCTGATAATCATGTAAGTCTTTGAGTAAATAACTTATGATACAAGATTGACTCTCAACCAGAAAACTGAATGAATATATACACAGGATTGCTACCCAGTCAGCCGCTGGAGAATAGGTTTAGAAAATACCAACAACATAATTCATGCCACTCACATAGTTCCCTTTTACATAATTTCTGTAATATGCCAAGCTGCATGAGAGGTTTGTGTGTGTGCAGATTCACAAGTGCCATTCAGAGCAAGGATTATATTCATAAAACACATTCGTGAATGCATTAACACTCCAAAGCTCCCAGACCTTCTCAGAGGAGCAGGATTCAAGAAAGTCAGTCTCAAAAACACTTCAGAGCAGCTACCATGCTCCATTAAACAGTGCATTTAATTTTATTTTTTTTCATTCTTATCATTATCAACACAAATCTGCACCCGGGGAATGCATTCTATAAGCATAATTGTAAAAACACATCACCACATCAGATCAAAAGTCAACCATTCCTCAAAATAAATAAAAACCATGTATACTGATCAGTAGTTAGTTGACAGATGTTACTGCAATAATTTAGGAACATAGAATCAAACATATGACGTCAAGTCACTCCCAGATGTAGCATAGGGTAAAATGTTTCTATCTCATTCACAAACAACAGCATATATCAAGACATATGCACATGTGCACCCAGGAAAGTACTCTTCTACTTCACCACATCAAACTTTGACCGGAGGTTCGATATCATAACTGGACACTCTCCCTTCTCATCATACTCAGCAAAGTCGCCACCTGACAAGTCAACGGCTTCATATTTGGTCCCAGCAATCTACGCAAATAACTTTTAAGAGTAAGTTGGCATAAAACACAATCAAAACAAAGAAATAGCTTTAGCCATTCCAAATTTTCAAATGTATATATATGACAATTCATGGTAGATCAAAGAAATAAATTAGCGTCAAACTAGATGCATTTTAAACGAAAAAAAAAACATTAACAGTTATCAAAAGAATGTATTACAATTTACCGAGCAAATCTATAATTCTGAAAATGAGGCAACAATTTTCAAACAAGCAAAGTTTGTTTCCATTTCCCAAGCTCTCCAAATTATTGTTGTTCAAGTCAAGAGTGATGTATTGTGGACTAATACCAAAATAGCGGCTAAAAGGCCCATTAAAAAACTAACAAGAAAAAATAATCAAACTAAATGTGCATGCATGCTGAAGAAAGATTGTAGGAAAGAGTTCCAATTAGGAGCTCTTTATTAACTTTTTTATAGGAAACTGAAACTGTATTCCAAGATCAGAGAAATTGAAAAGGTTAATAGGCAGTCATCAGGGCCAAAAATCTTTTGTGAGTGACCAGATACAAGAACCAATAACCATAAAAAAGACCCTCAGCAAAGATAACAGAGGCTGCCCCAACAATTACAACCATACTAAGAACATTCACAATCCTGGAATACATCAAATGAAATGTTATATATAATTGCATAGTCCTAGACTGGAACCTGAATTGCACCATATCCCTTACATCCACACTCAATTCTTGAAAGAAAAATGTATAATGCTTCATGTTGAATAACAAAGTGGAAAGATAAAAAGTGAAAACTTACAGATTCAACCTTCCATCCACCACCAAAGATGTAATCCACAGGCTCGTAACCCCTGCAGTCGAATAACATCATGGGGCAGTACTTCCCTGATTCACTATCTTCCTGGGTCAGTGGTTTACCTCGCCCTGAGATCATTGTCACAGTGCCCTCCCTCCCACAAAACTTGCACTGGAAAAAGAGGAAAGGCACCAAAGTATCACCCAAAAACAGAACACAATCATTATACAAAACAAATAGAGAAATTTTCATCTATAGTTTGGAAATAATTAATCTACCCACAAAACTTGAAACTACTAATATATTGATTGGTTAAGTTATCATAATGCAGTAAATCTCTGATCAAATACAAACAAAGCTTTTACATCTGAGAGCACATGCCAAAGTCAACAGTGAACATCAAATTACGAGAGAAATAAAGGAAATGTGATAATATTGCAAAGTATTTTCTCATTGAAGAAAAGTGTAAATCATTTTAAAATATACAGTAACAGCACTTGGTATACATATCAAGATTAAGAATATTCTAATTTAACATTTGTGATCTCCCCAAAAAATATCAAATTAAAAACGACACTAAACTAAGCACACTACTACTTATAGTTTTACTTGGTCAGGCTGAAAACAGAGTAATTTTCCCAAAAAGATAAAAAAAAAGGTGAAGCAGCTTTCTTTTTCATTATATGTGGTTTCAGCAAACCAGAGTATATATCAAATTAAACTTTCATTCTCAACATAACACATATATACAAACACTCACATAGTGAGAGAGATTACTTTCTGAACTAGATTAGTGGTTCCCTTGCCCTGAGAAAGAGGAACAACTTCATTCAAGGTCACACAGGTTTCTTTCTGGCTCACCTCACCGCACCTCCCGCACTTCACCTACACCTCCCATAAATTAACAATTAAACACATAATCCAAGGACATTCCAAGATTAGATTCATAATTTCAATCATCACATACACCGCTCATAATCAAGAAACCTATGGGAATTTACAATAATACAATACTTAGAAAGCAAGTATCCCAAACGATGTGAAAATTAACTTGACATAACTATATCATCTGATGATTTATGTGGCGTCGATAACTCAATCATCATATCATTTTAAAATACAAACTGGAATACCTACTTTATAAGTATAACATTACTTGAGAATGAAACGCTTAAAATAATATACTTGTAAAAATAGAAAAATAACAACTAATAATCCGTAATAAAAATACTCTGTAATCATATCTTCAATAACTTCACATAAAATTATATATTTACCAATGTCCAAACCTAATATACGGACGGATAAGCGAAGTGAACTAGTTAATATTGCCTCACTCTAATCACGTAAGGGTCAGCACTTTCTATGATGGTTCTGGTGCAGACATCCACACCAAAGAAAATCTAATCATCCATTTGAAGGCAATATGAAGGTCAAGATGATTTAGAACCATAAATACGTAGATATTAGATAAAATCAGGATATCAGTTTAAAGACTTGAAGAAGAAATTAAAAATCATGAATGCCAAGATAGAAAAAATGGAAGTGGAAATACATTCCAAATAAAATGATGAGCAAGAGGAGATTCGAATTATTTCAAGAGAAAAAAAAAAACATTGGCAATAATAATACTATTTAAAATCTAAATATGCACACAAGATGAAAAACAAGATTAGAATCAAGTAACCAGAACGGCTAATTCTACAATTTCAATTTCAGTAGGAAAGGAATTTATGAAGCCATAACATTAAAAAGAGAAAAAAAAGAAAAAGAAAAAAAGATAGTGAACTAGAGTGAACAATATAATCATTAAAAAGAAATCATCAGTATTGAAAGCAAAGCAACAAAGATAATTAACACGAACTAAATAGAATGAAATTCGCTAATTGTAAATAATATAAAAAATGGGGAAGAGAAAGAGATAGACCTTGAAGAAGTAGGAGAAATTGGGATTATCGCAGCCACCTTCTGGCTCGAGGTTCGTGAGATTCTCCAGGTCGGCACAGATCAACAGCATGTAGTTCACCATTTTTTTTTTCACTTACAAGGTTCTATGTTTCTCTCTGCGTACTGGATGGTTAAAGAAAAAGCACCCTCGCGAGGGTATATTATTGTGAAGCAACAGATGAGAAAAGCAGAAGCACACAGGTTGAAGGGACGACATGTCGTATGTAAGAGCAAGCCACATGTCGTCCAACAAAATACGGGCGATACGACATAAAAAATAAGCATATGACACGATTCTAGACCTTCCAATTCCAAGTTCGTAAAAAGAAAATTACGTTCTAGTTAAATGTTAGATATTTGTATAATTACATGAATTATGATATAATTTCACAGGATCTAGATTAAATATTGAAGATGTAAATGAAAAGTGGATGACCAGAAGGTAAGTCATGTAAATTTAGCGCATTTTCGAATTACCTTATGCATGATATTAATGAATATGAATTTAGCATTATTTGTTATATATATAACCACTTGAATTATGATATAATTAAGAATAAAATTATGTTGTTTGTTCTTGAAATATATTAATATATAAAAAATGGGAAATGGGTTTTGTTCTCATGTTCTGGGTTTTAATGGGATGGTTATAATTCTATTTGTACTCATTTCTGTAGTTTCAGGAAACAAGATTTCGGAAGGTGGAACAAAAGTAAATCACCTCCCAAGGCATGTTGTGAAAAGCATTCAGGTATAATACATATAACTTCTTTAATGTAACGTAATATCACTGAAATTATATAGTCCTGGCCATGGCTTTGGATTGTTGAGGTGATGATTCAACATTTTTATATAAATTTATGCAGAGTGAAGACGGGGATATTATTGATTGCATTGACATTTACAAGCAACCAGCATTTGCTCATCCTGCACTACGGGATCATAAAATCCAGGTTTAACACTTTTTTTTTTTTTTTTTTCTAATTTATAGAACTTTTTGTCGGTATAATTAATCATTGTTGCTTCAATATAGTTCACGTTTTTTCCTGATGTTTTTTGATTGCATATGCTTAATGCTTTTTCAGATGGCTCCCAGTTATGAACCAACAGTAGAGACAATGGCAGCAACAAGTCCGGCGAAAACAAAAACATTCAAGAATAGATATGAGCAATCTTCCATGATCGTGGCATCACAAATATGGAAAAAGAATGGAAGTTGTCCAGATGGAACGGTGCCAGTTCGAAGATTTCAGAATAAAGGACTGCTTGAATCAAATTCTCTTGAAGCTTATGTTAGGAATAAGCCAACTCATCCAGTTAAGCAGCTTAATGACGATGAGAATCCTAACTCTCAACTGCCAAATCGCTCGGTATGATTCTGTCAAACAGTTGTTTAGTGAACATCTTCTGATTCGTACTCTCCTGAACTTTTATGGTTAATAACTGATCATATTCACTTTGAATCATTATCTTTTTCCTATTTTTTCTGATTTGGTTGAATTTCTGTAATTAAATCAGAAGGCAATACTGCTTACACTAGGTTATATTTACTCTGGAGCTAAAGCAGACATCAAAGTTTGGGACCCTTCTGTCGAATCTGACGATGAGTACAGTACTTCCCGAGTTAGTCTCCAAAGTGGTCCTTACTACGATTTTGAAAGCATTGAATCTGGATGGGCGGTTAGTATAACTAAGAATTCTTTTTCAGTTCAGTCATTCATCCATTACAACACTAGCTAAACATATACCTTTTTTCTTTTTTGGTTCATAATTTTTCAGGTAAATCCAAGAGTGTATGGGGATAAGAAGACTCGATTGTATGTATATTGGACCGTAAGTACTTGTCAACAAATAAGTTATTATAATTTTTATGGAGTTTAACTTCTTGTGGAGATGTCTATGCTACTAAATACACAACGTAAGATCCAAAATTTTATTTCTTTTCTTTATTAAATAGGTTGATGGATCAAAGGCAACAGGGTGCTTTGATCTTACTTGCCCTGGTTTTGTTCAAACTAGCAAGGAAATTGCACTTGGTGCTGCAATTTATCCCATCTCAGTAGCTAACGGCCTTCCATACCAGATAAATATTTACATATTTAAGGTAAAACGAAATGGAACTTTTCTTTCATTGAAAACGCTTTGAATAATATTTTGTTCTCATTTCTTCAGAATTTTTATAATCTTTTGATTTCAGGATCCAAATACAAGCAATTGGTGGATGCAGTATGGAGAAAAAATCAACGTGGGATACTGGCCTCATAACTTATTTAGTTTGATAATTAGTGGTGCAGAAAGTGTAGAATGGGGAGGTGAAGTTTACAGCTTAAAGTTGGGGCAATCTCCCCACACTGCAACGAAAATGGGAAATGGAGAATATCCAGACCCAATTTTTGGTGATTCAGGTTACATGAAGAGAATGAGAGTTCTTGATAATTCTCGTATCTTGAAGTTCCCGGAATGGGTATCTACTTATGCAGACGAGTACAACTGCTATGATGTTTACTATATTTCAGATTATGTTGAGGATCCTGAATTCTATTATGGAGGACCTGGAAGAAGTTACAAATGCCCTTAAACTTTTGTAACGGTTGCTAAAAATGGTTATTCATTGCCATACCACCTATTTTCTTTAATTAATTAACGATTCTATTATGTAAGGCAACAAGTTAGCAATCTACCAGTCACAACATTATGTTATGAAGTAATGCTTCTTTTGAAACTGAAGAATGGAATGTGAGAATAAGCATTCACTTAAGGGGGCATTTGGTTGGGGGTTATATGAGATTATTGGGGTTATGTCATCTTATATTACTTGATTACTATGTTTGGTTGTCAAGTAATATAACATATCGGTAATCTTCAAATACCAATAGTGGTTACTATTGGTAGATTACCTCTATTTTCTTAGGTATTTTAAGATTACCAGGGTTATCTTTTTTTGTTACAATTTTATCCCTTATTAATAAAAATTTTGGACAATAATACCCCTACTTTAAAACAAATTTACATTAATATCCTATTTCAATTTTACCCTTGTTTAATTAAAATTTTGGACAATAATGCCCTTATATTTAAAACAATTTACAGACCACCATTGCCACCCAACCACCACCACCACCGCCGACAGCGGGCCAACCACCATGGTCTGCCGCCGGAAAGTCGTCGGAGTCCCTAAAAAAGAACGAGATTCTATGGGAGGCTTCGATATGGCTGTTTCCGGCCATATCAGGCCAGATCTGGCCTTTAACGGCCACAGACATGGCCGTTAATGGCCAGATCTATTCTAGCCGGAATAGATCTGGCTGTTAACAGCCAGGTCCATGGCCGTTAACGGCCAGATCCATCGATCTGGCCTGATATAGCCTTTTTCGATAATCAATATGGCCAGAAACGGTCATATCAGAGCCTCTTGGTCACGGTGAGCTACTCACGGGGACTTTCGAAGACTCCCGGTGGTGGTTGACGGTGGCGGCAGGAGGTGGGGGTGATTTCATCATAAATTAAAGTTTTATATAAGCAGGGGTGTTTTAGCTAAATCTGAAATATTAGGGGTTAAAAAAAAATTAATAATAAAAATAATATTTAAAAAGGGGATAATTTAGTAATTTAAATAACATACCTACTAATTTATTCCCCATAACCAAACATATTAATATAACATACACACCAACTAACCAAACACATTTTCCTAAAGATTTCCAGTAACCTTCAAGGTAATCTATCTTTCCAGTAATCCAATATTCCCAGTAATCTAACATTCCCGGAACCAAACGCCCCCTAAGAGTAACACTACACTCACAAACACTTCTCACTAACTGTTTCTCACAAACGCCATGTGTCAGCTCACAATTTGTCAATTTACATGGGTCTTGCCTGTCCAATAATAGGTCCCGCCTGACCAAGCCAATCACAAACTCCCACATGGGGTTAGTGAGAGGGGTTTGTTAGTTTAGTATTATTGTTCACTTAAATGTTAGCATTGTAACAACTATAACTAATGGGATTGTGATAGGAACTCACTCCAATAACTTAACAATTAGATTGGGCTATGGGTCTTTTATGGGCTTGGGTAGAACTCTCCTTGGAAAACTGACTTGCCAAGGGAGGGTGCCTAAGCCCTTTATAACCCGCATGCCCCTTTTAATGTAGGATCCTAACACACCACCACACTTCTATAGCTGACATCCACGTCGGCCTCTTTACCCCTTAGGTGACTACACGTATCCACTTTCCCTCAGGCCTCCATGCCCTTTCTCGGGGTAGCAACCCGGGCCCAAGGTCAGCCTGCCACGGGTCAGCTACCATGTAGGCGACATCTTGTGGGCATAGGATCATACTCTGATACCAATTGATAGACACCAAGCTCAAACCAAACAGTTAATCAATTTCCAATATCTATCTATGCAACAAATTCAACAAACACACCAAATAATCTCTCACATTCCGAAAATAGATGATATTAGTATTGATTTCAAGTAGCTAATCCAATCAACATAACTTTGATTCAACAGAAAATTAGAAAGCAAAACAATGAAGGTGAAATGAAAACATGAAAGAAAACATAGCTTGCTTCGAGAGTAAGCTACCTCCCTGTTGATACAGAAATCTACACCGACCAGAAAATTTCGATTGACCTTGACGGAACCGAAATGGATGTGCATGTGATTTAATAAAAATCAGCAATGAACAAAAAAGAAAGAGTCACAAATAAAAAACACAAGACAATTTTTAAAGTGGTTCGACAAGTTAGAACTTGAGCCTACGTCCATTGTTATCTTATTGCTTTTGAGAGCTTACAAAGAATAGTATAATTCCTAGGAAGATTTTCTTAGAACAATTTCCCAGCCCCCAAAAGCAAGTTGTGATGGGTTTATATAGAACTCATTTACATGGTAGAGTTGAGGTAAGATTCAAATACGTAGAATTAGGAAGTTGCATGATCTTCGACTACCTTAGTTGAAATCTAAGTCAATCTTAATATCATTCTTCCAAATTGCGCCAATCTAAATATCTTCTCTCCTAATAAAGAATTATCCTCTCCGGATTTCATGCACAACAATAGCTCCCCAATTTTTGGAGTGCGTAATCGCGCTTAAAAAACTCATGTCTTTGATATGGATGGCTATTACACTATAGGCTATAGTCTCAAACTGAAGAGCTTGAATTATGTTTGGCGCGATCTAAGAGATCTTGAACATGTGATCTCAAGCAAATGACCGAGCTTATGAGCTCAATCAGAGAGCATAAAGAGCTCGATCTAAGAGTGCAAAGAGTTCAATTAGAAAGCACAGAAAGCTTGATCTGAGAGCATAACTCCATCAGAAAATATGGAGAGCTTGATCTGAGAGCATAACTCGATCAGAAAGCATGGAAAGCTTGATCGGAGAGCATTGCTCGATCAGAAAGCATGGAGAGCTTGATTTAAGAGCATAGCTCAATCAGAAAGCATGAAAAGTTTGATCTGTGAGCATAGCTCGATCAGAAAGCATGGAGAGCTTGATCTGATAGCATAGCTCGATCAGAAAGCTTGGAGAGCTTGATCTGAGAGCATAGCTCGATCAAAAAGCATGGGGAGTTTGATCTAAGAGCATTTCTCAATCAGAAAGCTTGGAGAGTTTGATCTGAGAGCATTGCTCAATCAGAAAGCATGGAGAGCTCGAACTGAGAGCATAGCCCAATCAGAAAGTATGGAGAGCTTGATCTGACAACATAGCTCAATCAAAAAACATGGAGAGCTTGACCTGAGAGCATTGCTCGATTATAAAGCTTGAAGAGTTTGATCTGAGAGCATTGCTCAATCAAAAAGCTTGGAGAGCTTGATCGGAGAGCATTGCTCGATCAGAAAACATGGAGAGTTTGATCTTAGAGCATAGCTCGATCAGAAAGTGTGGAGAGCTTGATCTGAAATCATAGCTCGATCAAAAAGTGTGGAGAGCTTGATCTGAGAGCATTGCTCAATCAAAAAGCATCGAGAGCTTGATTTGAGAGCATAGCTCGATCAGAAAGCATCGAGAGCTTGATCTGAGAGCATTGCTTGAATAGAAAGCATAAAAAGTTTGATCTGAGAGCATTGCTTGATCAGAAAGCATTGAAAGCTTGATTTGAGAGCATAGCTCGATTAGAAAGCGTGGAGAGCTTGATTTGAGAGCATAGCTCGATCAGAAAGCATGAAGAGTTTGATCTTAGAGCATTTTCGATCAAAAAGCTTGGAGAGCTTGATCTGAGAGTATTGCTCGATCAGAAAGCATGGAGAGCTTGATTTGAGAGCATTGCTCGATCAGAAAGCTTAGAGAGTTTGATCTAAGAGCATAGCTGGATCAGAAAGCATGAAGAGCTTGATCTTAGAGCATTCTCGATCAGAAAGCTTGGAGAGTTTGATCTGAGACTATTGCTCGATCAGAAAGCATGGAGAGTTTGATCTGAGAGCATAGCTTGATCAAAAAGCATGGAGAGCTTGATCTGAGAGCATTGCTCGATCAGAAAGCATGGAGAGCTTGATCTAAGAGCGTTACTCTATCAAAAAGCATGGAGAGCTTGATCTGAGAGCATTACTCGATTAGAAAGCATGGAGAGCTTGATGTGAGAGCATTGCTCAATTAGAAAACATAGAGAGCTTGATCTGAGAGTATTGCTCAATCAGAAAACATGGAGTGCTTGATCTAAGAGCATAGCTTGATCAGAAAGCATGGAGTGCTTGATCTGAGAGCATTGCTTGATCAGAAAGCTTGGAGAGCTTGATTTGAGAGCATTTCTCAATTAGAAAGCATGGAGAGCTTGAGAGCTTAAGAGCTAGAGAGCTAGCTTGATAGCTTGGGAGCTTGAGAGCTCGATAGCTTGGGAGCTAGGCTAGCTTGAGAGTTCAATAGCTTGGGAGCTTGGGAGCTTGGGAGTGAGAGAGCTAGCTTGAGAGCTAGAGAGCTAGGTTAAGAGCTCAATAGCTTTGGAGCTAGAGAGCTAGAGAGCTAGTGAGCTCTTTTTAATTTGAGAGATTTGAGCATGCAATCTAAGCGATCTGGCCACGCGATCTGAGAGCTCTAATTTAGAATATGCTTTAGTATTTCGATGATAACTTGAGCTGTAGACCTCGGATTTGGATGATTCTTGGATCGTCAGAAAGTTAACTCAAAGGGCTACAATTATTGTCCAGTTAGCCAAATTCAGACTTTATCCTACTCAAATTTTCACATTTGATAACGTGATTCTAGAAAAAGAAGCTGGGGTTTGCTGAAGAAGTTGAGAATTGCTGGAAAAACATGGAGAGCTGGTGTGAATCAGACTTTCCTTCTAGCACCAAAATGTTGATACAGAAATCTGCACCAACTAAAGAATTTCGATTGACTCTATCGGAATCGGAATAGATGTGCGCGTGATTTAATGAAAATCAGCAATGAACAAAAAAGAAAGAGTCACAAATAAGAACACAAGACAATTTTTAAAGTGGTTCAGCAAGTTAAAACTTGAGCCTACATCCACTGTCATCTTATTGTTTTTGAGAGCTTACAAAGAATAGTATAATTCCTAGGAAAATTTTCTTAGAACAATTTCCTAGCACCCGAAAACAAGTTGTGATGAGTTTATATAAAACTCATTTACATGATAGAGTTGAAGTAAGATTCAAATACGTAGGATTAGAAAGTTGCATAATCTTCGACTACTTTAATTGGAATCTAAATCAATCTTAATATCATTCTTCCAAATTGAGTCAATCTAAATATTTTCTCTCCTAATAAGGAATTATGCTCTCCGGATTCCACGCACAACACTCCCAAATTACACTTTCCCACTTTTTCAGAATATCCTCCTTTATTCTCTGAATCCCCTTTTATGCTATTCAGTCTCATACTCTATAACAGAATTCATATACTAACCACACTCATTCTGCCATCTGTCCACACTTAATTGGTTTGCACCCTTTTTGCTACCTTACAAATAATCCCCTGCTGTCCCCTCCCACGTTTCCTAACATAAATCACAACAGGTCTTTCATCAGACTGCAAATTGGGATCGCAATTTTTAGAAGTTGTATTGAACATTTTCCTTTTCAGCCCATCTCTTGCAGTGGACAGACCTGTTTCTCAGGAATATATATGTCAGCTATCCATATTTAGTAAAAAGTATTTGGCCTTCTTGAAATAGAGTATTTAAATAATTACTTGACTGCTTTTTGGCAGAGAATTTAAATGGAAAGTGAGTTTAATATAGCTTGACCTTCCAAATTGACTTGGTAGCGGGTTCCCTGCACTGTACACCCCAGGGTTATATAGTTGTACCTTCAAGATAAAATTTATTTCCATACTTTCTCCAGACCAAACAAGGCTTCCTTTCTGCCTGCTGGCTCTTGTTCCTGTTTGTGTTGGGACAAATGAAGAAAATTATTTCTATGATTTTGTTCGGAATGGTTGTATTTGTTTTGAATGGAGTACATGGTAACGCCAATTATAGCGAAAGTCTTTCTGAAATTGATGGGAGGTTGAAGCTTCTCAATAAGCCCGCAGTGAAAAGCACAAGGGTATGCCATATTCTACAATCTAGATAAAATTTTCATAAAAAAAACTTGATTTCTTTAACGCAATGAAATGTTTATGTAGAGTGAAGATGGAGATATAATCGACTGTGTTGACATCTATAAACAACCTGCTTTCGATCATCCAGCATTGAGGAACCACACACTTCAGGTTCTTTTCTGTTTACTCTGTTTTTTTGGGGACTTAATTGTGAACTCTGAGAGTATCCGATCTTTTTTATAGCTCGATCAGAAAGCATGAAAAGCTTGATCTGTGAGCATAGCTCGATCAGAAAGCATGGAGAGCTTGATCTGAGAGCATAACTCGATCAGAAAGCTTGGAGAGCTTGATTTGAGAGCATAGCTCGATCAAAAAGCATGGGGAGCTTGATCTAAGAGCATTTCTCAATTAGAAAGCTTGGAGAGTTTGATCTGAGAGCACTACTCAATCAGAAAGCATGGAGAGCTTGATCTGGGAGCATAGCCCAATCAGAAAGCATGGAGAGCTTGATCTGACAGCATAGCTCGGTAAAAAAACATGGAGAGCTTGACCTGAGAGCATTGCTTGATTATAAAGCTTGAAGAGTTTGATCTGAGAGCATTGCTCGATCAAAAAGCTTGGAGAGCTTGATCGGAGAGCATTGCTCGATCAGAAAACATGGAGAGCTTAATCTTAGAGCATAGCTCAATCAGAAAGTGTGGAGAGTTTGATCTGAAAGCATAGCTCGATCAAAAAGTGTGGAGAGCTTGATCTGAGAGCATTGCTCGATCAGAAAGTATCGAGAGCTTGATCTGAGAGCATAGCTCCATCAGAAAGCATCGAGAGCTTGATCTGAGAGCATTGCTTGAACTCAAAGCATTGAGAGTTTGATCTGAGAGCATTGCTTGATCAGAAAGCATTGAAAGTTTGATTTGAGAGCATAGCTCGATTAGAAAGCATGGAGAGCTTTATCTGAGAGTATAGCTGGATCAGAAAGCATAAAGAGCTTGATCTTAGAGCATTCTCGATCAGAAAGCTTGGAGAGCTTGATCTAAGAGCATTTCTCGATCAGAAAGCATGGAGAGCTTGATCTGAGAGTATTACTCGATCAGAAAGCATGTCGAGATTGATCTGAGAGCATTACTCTATCAAAAAGCATGGAGAGCTTGATCTGAGAGCATTACTCGATTAGAAAGCATGGGGAGCTTGATCTGAGAGCATTGCTCAATCAGAAAGCATAGAGAGCTTGATCTGGGAGCATTGCTCTATCAGAAAACATGGAGTGTTTGATCTAAGAGCATAGCTTGATCAGAAAGCATGGAGTGCTTGATCTAAGAGCATAGCTTGATCTGAGAGCATTGCTTGATTAGAAAGCTTGGAGAGCTTGATTTGAGAGCATTTCTCGATTAGAAAGCATGGAGAGCTTAAGAGCTTAAGAGCTAGAGAGCTAGCTTGAGAGCTTGATAGCTTGGGAGCTCGAGAGCTTGAGAGCTCGATAGCTTGGGAGCTAGAGAGCTAGCTTGAGAGTTCGATGGCGTGGGAGCTTGAAAGCTAGCTTGAGAGCTCGATAGCTTGGGAGCTAAAGAGCTAGGTTGAGAGCTCAATAGCTTTGGAGCTAGAGAGCTTGAGAGCTAGCGAGCTCTTTCTAATTTGAGAGATTTGAGCGTGTAATCTAAGCGATCTGGCCACGCGATCTGAGAGCTCTAATTTAGAACAGGCTTTAGTATTTTGACATTAACTTGAGCTGTAGATCTCAGATTTGGATGATTCTTGGACCATCAGAAAGCTAACTCAAAGGACTACAATTTTTGTGTACTATGCCAGATTTAGACTTTATCCTACTCATATTTTCACATTTGATAACGTGATTCTAGAAAAAAAATCTGGGATTTGCTGAAGAAGTTAAGAATTGTTGGAAAAACATGAAGAGCTGGTGTGAATCAAACTCTCCTTCTAGCACCAAAATGTTGATACAGAAATATGCACCAACTAAAGAATTTCGATTGACTCTATCGGAATCGAAATGGATGTGCGCGTGATTTAATGAAAATCAGCAATGAATAAAAAAGAAAGAGTCACAAATAAGAACACAAGACAATTTTTAAAGTGGTTCGGCAAGTTAGAACTTGAGCCTACATCCACTGTCATCTTATTGCTTTTGAGAGCTTACAAAGAATAGTATAATTCCTAGGAAGATTTTCTTAGAACAATTTCCTAGCGCCCGAAAACAAGTTGTGATGGGTTTATATAAAACTCATTTACATGATAGAGTTGAAGTAAGATTCAAATACGTAGGATTAGAAAGTTGCATAATCTTCGACTACCTTAGTTGGAATCTAAGTCAATCTTAATATCATTCTTCCAAATTGAGTCAATCTAAATATTTTCTTTCCTAATAAGGAATTATACTGTCTGGATTCCACGCACAGCACTCCCAAATTACACTTTTCCACTTTTTCAGAATATCCTCCTTTATTCTCTTAATCCCCTTTTATGCTATTCAGTCTCATACTCTATAACAGAATTCATATACTAACCACACTCATTCTGCCATCTGTCCACACTTAATTGCTTTGCACCCTTTTTGCTACCTTACAAATAATCCCCTGCTGTCCCCTCCCACGTTTCCTAACATAAACCACAGCAGGTCTTTCATCAGACTGCAAATTGGGATCGCAATTTTTAGAAGTTGTATTGAACATTTTCCTTTTCAGCCCATCTCTTGCAGTGGACAGACCTGTTTCTCAGGAATATATATGTTAGCTATCCATATTTAGTAAAAAGTATTTGGCCTTCTTGAAATAGAGTATATAAATAATTACTTGACTGCTTTTTGGCAGAGAATTTAAATGGAAAGTGAGTTTAATATAGCTTGACCTCCCAAATTGACTTGGTAGCGGGTTCCCTGCACTGTACACCCCAGGGTTATACAGTTGTACCTTGAAGATAAAATTTATTTCCATACTTTCTCCAGACCAAACAGGGCTTCCTTTCTGCCTGCTGGCTCTTGTTCCTGTTTGTGTTGGGACAAATGAAGAAAATTATTTCTATGATTTTGTTGGGAATGGTTGTGTTTGTTTTGAATGGAGTACATGGTAACGCCAATTATAGCGAAAGTCTTTCTGAAATTGATGGGAGGTTGAAGCTTCTCAATAAGCCCGCAGTGAAGAGCATAAGGGTATGCCATATTCTACAATCTAGATAAAATTTTCATAAAAAACTTGATTTCTTTAACGCAATGAAATGTTTATGTAGAGTGAAGATGGAGATATAATCGACTGTGTTAACATCTATAAACAACCTGCTTTCGATCATCCAGCATTGAGGAACCACACACTTCAGGTTCTTTTCTGTTTACTCTCTTTTTTTTGGGACTTAATTGTGAAGCACTAATATATCATACGATCTCAGTAAGGCTTCACTTTGGCAATTTTTTATTTTCTCATCTTAGTTCATGTAATATGCAGTTGAGACCGAGCATTAATCTACCAACCCAGAAGGTGGATAAAAGGAACGAATCTGGTCGGCCAGTGGTAATTCAAACTTGGCAAAAGAATGGAACTTGTCCAAAGGGAACTGTTCCCATTCGTAGAATCCGAAAGCAAGATTTATTAAGAGCAGCTTCTCTTGAGAATTTTGGAAGAAAAAGTCCGGAAATTTCTTATGCAGCAAAAGGAACAGAAGCTAATAATAGCAAATTTATAAACATAAACAATACCAAAATCGACATTGGTGGTCTATCTACGGTTGACCGTTCAGTAAGCATCCTTTTGAGCAGCTGTAGCTTTTCCATGTCCTTAACATAACTTTGCCAGAAAGTATCACTTCTCCTAATTTATTTGATTGCATTTCCTGAACTAGGCTGCAGTTCTAGTTACAGTTGGATACAACTATTTAGGAGCTCAAGGAGATATAAACGTTTGGAATCCAAATGTTGATTTGGAAGATGATTATACTGCTGCTCAAATATGGCTTAAAGGTGGCCCTGGCGACAGTTTTGAAAGCGTGGAGTCGGGATGGATGGTTAGTACATTATCAGAATCGTACTTGAGAAATCTGAACTTTACGTTTTTCCTAATTCATCACACTGTTTCAGGTAAATCCCAAGCTATATGGTGATAAACGCACACGATTTTTTGCATACTGGACTGTAAGTTTCGTTGCTGCTTTGAATGAAATTTAAGAAATGTAACTTATCTTGCTTATTTACTTGTTTTCATCTATCTTTAGGCAGACAGTTACAAGACAACCGGTTGTTTCGACCTCACTTGCACTGGGTTTGTGCAAACAGACCCCCAAATAGCCCTTGGTGGAAGCCTTGATGCCATATCCAGTATTGACGGTCAGCAGTATCAAATGACTATTAGCATAAACCTGGTAATATATATATATTTTTTTTGTTTGTTTTTTATTTTTTTGTATCAGTATATATAAACTTGGTGTTTGTTCATTACAGGATCCGAATTCAGGTAACTGGTGGTTACAGTATAACAATCAAGTTGTTGGGTATTGGCCAGCAATTCTGTTCAGTGTCCTAAAGCATAGTGCGATATTAGTGGAATGGGGAGGACAAGTGTTTAGCCCGAAGGTGAAGAAAACTCCGCACACAAGAACAGCTATGGGAAGTGGAGAAATGGCAGATACTCTAATGGGTAGTGCATGCTATATCAAGAACATAAGAATTATAGATAATTCTCTTCAATTGAAGTACCCTGAATGGGTATCCACTTGGGGTGATGAAAAGGACTGCTATAGTGTAGTAAATGACGAAAAAGACTATAAAGATGGACCTGTGTTTTTCTTTGGCGGGCGGCCTGGAAAAAGTGTTTACTGTCCATAAACAGTGAATCAGAATATAATCGGTTAGAATAATAGTGATTGTCACAGCTCTTCAGCTCTACAATAAATAAATCAAATTGATGCCTCATTCAAATAATTCTCCGCTTTACCTCTCTACTTGTAGAACACTTTAACTGCAAGGTGTTGGTAAAATTTGAAACTTTTCTTTTTCTTCTGAAAGGTCCTCTGTACATGCTCTCAAGCCTGAAACTGGGAATCAAAATATAATTTAACCTATAATTACTCGCTAAAGACCCCCCTTAACAAGAACTGGGACAGCCGAAACTGTTAATTGACTACTGGTTTAAAACAAAATGTCCATGCTCAAAGCATGTAAACTGTTATTGGCTGGCTTCAAGTATATCAAGAAGGTAACAAGAGCCATAAATGAGTTACACATATAAGATACCAAACATGAAGGTGAAGGTGCTGGAAAATTGTACATTCAGGGTTTCGAGGTCTGATTCACAATTGCTGGGCAACTTATATTTAGAATTAGTTTTCCCACTAATGAAGTGTTTCAAGAGTTAGCCGCATAGCATATCACCAAGAAGAAATAAATAAATAAAAGTCTGTTTCATACTTTTAAAAATTAGAAAATATTTTCAAATTTATACAAAATGAGTTTTCAAATATGAATAGATGAAAAATATAATTCAAAATTTAAAATTACACCCTAGTTTAAAAACCATTTAAGAATGAAAAAATACTCATATTCACAGAAATGACCATTTGTAAAAACAGACACTTCACATATTCACAGAAATTACCGATCATCATACAAGAGATTCTGTTTAAATATTTTTTTACATACTGCTGTCCCAACCCAAAGCCACCATTTTCAAAAAGTTGTTCTATTTTCATAGCCAATTTCATATGGTATGTATAGAAGACCAACAAAACCCAATTTCAGAATGATGAAAGTAGCAGCACAACCATCCCAACCCAACGCCACCATTTGGCATTATATAAAGAAAAAACACAAAAGAACTAAATACAACAAAAAACCTCACTAGATGATATCTAGTGTTCTTTACCACAGCTGCAATAATACATAGTCTACAACATGAGAGGGGAAGACAGTTGCAAATTAACTAGTTATCACGTTTCTAAGTGTAAAATACCATCCTCCTCCCCCCTCTACAGATCTCCCTCTACTTGGTATCAATTTTAAACAAATATTCATATTACAGACTTGTAATCCTAGTGATTTATCTACATGTGAATAAACTATATCACAATTTTAAAAAGAAAATTACAAAATATCATGCCCAAAAAAGTAGAGGGAAATTACCAGGAAACATTCCAAAGCAGATGGTCTCAGATAATTAACCAGTAAAGAGTTTGTTCAACACAAGCAAACTAAATTGAGTCATACTGTTTCCTCTCTTGTTGTATGGACTGAAAAATTCGAGCTGCAGACTCAGTAGCTGATCTAGGATTGTGAGGCACAACTTTGATCACCTTGGTTGGCTGGTCTGTATCATGAGGCTGAGGGACTCGCTCTTGGTCGACTGGAGCCTTCTTGAACAGTGGAAGTGAATCTCTTCCTTCGACAGCTGGACCTCTCCCTTCACCTTGCGTTCTCTCACCTGGACTACTAGCTGTACTTCCTTGTAGCTCTGTGTCTTTAGACGCCCGAAACTTCATTACTTGTGGAATAGCTCCACTCTTCTGGGCCGGAACATTGCATGAGCTTTCACGCTGCATGTTAAAGTTAGCTCCCCCTCCAGATAACTGACCATTTTGACCATGTGGACCGTGTCCAGCAAACTGGTTGTCTTGTTCAGTAGCTAAACCTGAGATAGATGGGTTCATTATTGGCATGCCATAAGGAGGGAAGTAATTATGACCAACTGGATGAGCACCCGGTATCACCCCAATTTCTTGATGATGATGAGGAGATGGCATTCCAATGGCTGGATTCATAAAGTTACCAGTTTCGGGAGTTGGCCCAAAAGGCCCGCATCTTGTCCCACAACCTGCTCCCATAAATCCATGACCAGGATATGGTTTGTATATAAGCCCTTCGGAAGGGGACATGATTGGAACTAACCACTGATGCCCGGGTGATTGATGAAAACACCACGGGCCTATTCTGGAATCACCAGCCATGGCTGCTGATGGTGGGTTTGCAAGGTAAGGCCCGTAATTTGAAGGCTGACTACCCTTTTTCAGAGAAGAAAGAAATGTCTTCCCAACTGCATTTTCCGCAGAACATTCCATCTTATGGAGAGGCTTCTCAGAATCATCTTTACACTTAATGATATGTGGTAGTGGTTTTACAACATACTCCGGCAGAAGTTTCTTTGCTGGAGAAGCAATTAAAGAAGATTTGCCAAGATAGGGACTGTCCTCAAGCAATAGGTGTGGTGATCCAGCAATCAGTTGTTGGACCTGTTTAAATTCAGAACTTAAGTTAATTCCGATCCAAAAACAAAATTGGTGGACAAAGTATTCTGTATCCCTCACAGGGACCAGCAAAAGCTACTGAACAGAGTAGGATAACGTCACCTTAATCAGTCTATGCAACTCAAATACTTGAACCGCAAACACTCTTTGTTGACTGTACAGAGTAACAGGAATTTAATCAAAAACAAAATTGCACAGAAATCAAAGAAAGAATCTTAATAAACGTTACCCAGGAAGAGGAGAAATAATAAGACAAAGCAGAAATTAATGTGCAGACATGACACCAGAAAGCATCATTTTGAAAAGTTTAGTATGCACACCAAACTGCCAGCACAGATGCCAGGGCAAAGTGGGTAACTTAATTGGCCTGAAGGTTTGAATTTCCCTACTGTATAAAGCTCTTTACACCCTCACCCTCACCCACAACCATACTGTGGATATATACAATCAGTAATACAACTGCCCTCACCATCTCCTTGAGTAAGCCTTAATCCTCTCCATAGTTCTATGTAGTCACCACAATCTCTGTCAATCCTTTTACACTTACACAATATGATTCTACCAACCGTAACGAGAAAATTTCCAGGGCATAGCACACCAAGTACACATTGAAGAAACACAAACAACTAAACACTACCACCCCCACAACTTCCGCAAGTTTCCAATATGAATGCTTGCAAAAACTTTCAAACAATATCAACAGTTCAAAAATATCAAATGGAAAGATAACAACGAGCAGCTTCTATCACAAACAATAACTTCTGTTTCAAAACTTGTAAATATTCCCCTCATGATAAATGCATGGAATTTTATTAGAAACTGAAAAATTGGACAATCAACTGTAAATAAAACTAGACTACCTTGAGATAGAATGGAACATAAAGTTACATACAAGATAAAGATTTATAGTTTACACTATGTACATCACATTTCCTTAATTGCATAGATGAAACACAATTTCCTATCAGAAATAACAGCATTGTATGATATATACAAAATGTACATGACTGGTAAATATCAGAAGCTAAACAGCAGCAAAGATTATGAATCACTCTCTCACCAGAATTGTCTAACATAAAAAATCAAGACACTACATGAGAACAACATTCTTTTTGCCACCATATCCACCAAAAATGTTCTCACTGTCAAATATCCTCCCATTTTTCACTTCAGAGAACCACCCAACATTACAAGGGATCATCCTCCTCCTGCTTCAGGCCCTCAAGTGCTGTGAATAGATAAACTCTCAGGATTGCAGGGAAAATCAACACCACACCGAGACAGGAAAATGCCCCATAGACAGATGCAAGACAAAACAGTAAATTGAATTGATCCGCTGTCTCGGGGGTCACCTTGCATACCTCGATTAGAATTGTCCATTTCCCTGCTGTAAGACGATCCACCACTAAAATGTTATCTAGGGCCTTTTAAGAGGAACTCCAGGACTCCATACTACAAATTCTCTGTCGCTCAATTCAACTCAGTAACAATAAACATTCTTTCTAAACTCCTTGTGTTGGTATTCTATTTTGCATTCAAAATAATTAGTAGCTTTACTTTGAGAAGAAACATTAATAATAGGAAATAGATAACTGTAGCAACCTACTAGAATATATTTTGTATATACATTTTGTATATACAAGTCTAATGATGTAGTCACCTGCTGAAATAATTTCTTAGATTATAGTACAATAATTGCTTCTCCCTTCTAGAGAAAAAAAATTCACATATATCAAAGTTCATCAAATTAGACAAACAAAGCAGACAATCAAAGTTTCTTCTTTAATATTTCTTAAAATGATGAGTCAAAATCACCAATAAGCACAGCAAATCATTTACAATATCAAACAGGAGAACTTCATTTTTCTTCACAACAAAATAACCAAGAGTTTAACAAGAAAGCTAAAACTTCTACAATAGCAGCAATACTATGAGAATGACATAGTTGGGTTGTCAAATTTGTAATCTGTAGACAAAAGGACGATTCCATTTATGTCCTCATCGAAATTTACTACTGTACCCAATTAGGTTTATATGGAATGCCTGTATCCTTCCATTAAAAGAACTCTATAATAAATATCACATTGTGAAATAAAATACTGAACTGCGAGAACAAAACCCTTTAGAATGCCATTATTTATACAACATTTTTAATATAGTATGTCCATAATATGTGTTGCAACCCCAAATCTAAGGGCATCAAGATGAAACATGTTTGAGAAGCTAATAGTGAGCACAAAGACTTACTTGGTGATTGCTTTTCTAGCTTTCCAGAAATGTTTTTGACCTATTATTCCTACAACATCATCGGGAGTGATATCCAAGCCTGATATACAATCCACCATGGAGGTCTCCGAGACATCATCGCTTTTGTCTCCATTTCTGAACTTTAGTGACCCACAAGTATTGGTTCCATGATAATCATTATCAATAACAGGCTCGCTGGGACTGCTATGCTCTTCCCTTGTACAGGCACCACTTCTTGTCTTGGGAACAATTTCCTTCTCAATATCCCTCCCAGACTCATCACCATCACAATGTCCACGGTCATTTTGTTGCAACCCAGCTCCAGATTCATGTTGTAACGAAACATAACTGTCATTTAACCCGCTAAAATAAGATCCAGGGAGATCTACAAACTCTTGAATTGGTAATGCACTAGCTTC